AGTGGCTTCTTTGCTGCCCTTCTTGACACCAGGCCTTTGTCCAAAAGTCTTGGCCTCACAGTGCATGTAGATGCTCTCACACCAACCTGCTGCTATTCCTGAGCAAGCTCTGCACTGGTGGTGACATATTTCCGTAGCTGACTTTTCAGGTATTTTGATGCAAAGCGATGATGGCTGCACGTGTTTCTTTGGAGGTAACCACTGCTAACAAGAACACAATGACTGGAAGCTCTTCTTCACTCCTTTTATAGCAATCAGTCTGCTCTTTTTACCTAATTAGTATGATAGTGATTAACCTGACTAGTACTCATTCACACTTTCAAATGTGCTGCTGATATGATTAGTCAATTAATGTTAGCTGGTCATTTTGTGTCAGGATCAAAAAAAAAAGTTTTTTGTTTTGTGAAAAGTTAATTTTTTTGGCCAATGAAGCTTTTAGCAATTATTTAAAATGCATCTGATCATGCTACACAATAATCTAGAAACAATGTGAATGAGCACCACTACAGCTTAAGCAGCAAACTTTGCAAAACATTTGGCCATGACTGTAGAAACTATTAACCTACAAACAGTAAAGTTACTTTCATTTTTTTGACTCCTATTCAATTTATCTCAGCTGGAGCAAAATGGAAATCCTTATGAATTCAAGCCATTGTTAAATAAGATTGTGTATTACCCATTAGCTGCGGAATTGCTATTTTATGCAAAACAAAAGGAAAAAAATAAATCTAATAAACTATGTAAATTTAAGTATAGAGCATAGTGCTAGATTCTTTTGATGCTAGTTATTTTATTTTATTTTATGTATGTATGCATGTATGTGTCAATTTTTTGGGTTTTGTGCTGATACCTCATAATAGCAACACTTATTCAAGAGCTTGAAATTCTACAAGATTCTATATATGCCATTTGTAGATGAAGCTTAAAGGGATTGTGGAATTAAGGAGAAATAGAAGCTGTAGTCTTGTCAGGATGTCTGAATCAGGGTTTTGTACATATATTGCTGGCTCTCATGCTAAGACAGCTTACACAGGTTTTCCCAGAAGTTGAGGTATTTCCATCATCACTTGCATAAAAAGCAGAAGTCACATTGACAGGATACATTAGTAGGTTGCTGCTATGCTGTCTGAAATTTGTTTGCTTTTCTCCTCAGATTTAAAGCCAGTCATGTTTAAGAATATCTGGAATATACAGGAAAATGTAAGTGGTATATATTTCACCCGATTAAATCAGCTCTAATGCATTAGGGAGATCAGGGAGTGAATAAGTAAGCGACATTTCACAGTATGACATCAACCCCTGTTTAGAGACACACTCTCAATGCGTGCACTACTTTCTTTCTTGTCTTTTGACTGCCTGACCTAAATCTCACATCACAGTGGCTGTTGAGCTTGCCTTGGGTTGCCGCAATGCTCTCTGTGACTCCCATGGTTGCACACATCACATTGATTGTGAACAAAGCCTTGGAGCACAACTGCACTCTCATGGCATTTTTTGTTTATTATCGTACTTTGAATCCCTGATGATTTGCTCCCCCTATGACCTGTTTCACTCAGCCTCACACATCCTATAAGTGGCCGCAGGACTAACGTTCCCCCTGCATGCTTTG